CGTAAACGGTACGTCGAAAATATATTTCGGTAATCTCGACTGAAAATAATTAATTCCGAAAATAATAATCGATAACTTATATCGGAACTAAAACATAATTTATACCGATAAAATATCGGGATATTACAATCCTCCCTCCTTACAAAATTTCCGTCCTCGGAAATTCAAAACGTGACTGATCATACATGAATTATGTACATAGGATAAGGAAATACGTACATCAAAACTGAAAATCTTGGAAACGAGCGCGAATATCGGACTCCTCCTCCCATGTAGCTCCGTGGCGATCCCACTGAATACGTACGAGGGGAATATCTCGCTTCCGGAGCCGACGAACCTGACGGTCTAGTACAGCTACCGGTCGTTCCTCGTACGATAGATCTGGCTGAACCTGAATATCCGTATGAGGAATGACATGATCGGGGTCGCACACGTACTTACGTAACATAGATGCATGAAATACATTATGAATGCCTGATAAATCGGGAGGTAGGGCTAGACGATACGCGACCTCACTTACTCGTTCGAGAACTTCGAACGGACCGATGAAACGAGGGTGCAGCTTCCCTCTCTTTCCGAATCGCACAACTCCGCGAATCGGACGAACTCTGAGAAAGGCTGGCTCGCCAACCTCGAACTGAATATCTCGTCGATGATGATCGGCGGAAGATTTCTGTCGACTCTGAGCTGTCCTGAGTCTCTGCCGGATCAACTCGACCTGCTCCGCTATCTCCTCGATCATCTTAGGACCGAGTACTCGCCGCTCTCCAACGTCGTCCCAATAGAGAGGGGAACGACACTTGCGTCCATAAAGTGCCTCGTAAGGAGCCATCTGAATAGAAGAATGATAGCTGTTGTTATACGCGAACTCAAAGTACGGTAACAGTGACTCCCACTTAGCACCCCTGTCAACAACCAAAACACGAAGCATATCCTCAAGTGTCTGAATAGTCCTCTTCGACTGCCCGTCCGTCTAATGATGGTAGGCTGAACTGAACTCTAGCTTCGTGCCCATCGCCTCATGCAAGCTATGCCAGAATCGACTGACGAATCTGGGATCTCTGTCTGATACGATCGTAACGGTCACTCCGTGGAGTCGAATGATCCCACGTGTATATATCTCAGCCAACTTGTCCAGAGACATCCTCATCGAAACGGGTAAGAAATGAGCGACCTTAGTCAATCTGTCGACCACGACCCAGATAGCGTCGTGATGTTCAGACGACTTTGGCAATCCCGTAACGAAATCCATCGTGACTTCCTCCCACTTCCACCTCGGAATCGGCAGTGATTGTAGGAGGCCAATCGGACTCTGATGTTCTGCTTTGACTTGCTGACAGGTAAGACACCTCCTGACAAACTCGGCGACGTCCTTCTTCATGCCTCGCCACCAGAACGACCCTTTCAGGTCGTGATACATCTTCGTGCTCCCGGGATGGGCCAAGTAGGGTGCGGTATTTGCCTCTGATAAAATCTCCTTCCGCAACGCCTCGACCTTCGGGACCACGATCCTGCCTCTGAACTCTAAGGCACCATCGGCACCTAGCTGAAAATCCTGGACGCCTCCGGCGCGAACCTTGGCCTCCATGACCCGAATGAACTCGTCAGAAGCCTGCTCTCGCCGGATTCTCTCTCTCAGCGTCGGCTGAAGCTGCATGGCACTGATACTGGCACTGGTATTCCCCGAAACAGCTATGGGAAGTGCATCGATCGCCTGAAGCTGCATCCGGGCAAAC